GAAAATAATTATGACATCGGCAACAGAGAACTCCTTGCCATCAAGCTGGCCCTAGAGGAGTGGAGGCATTGGCTGGAGGGGGCAGCCCATCCATTCACCGTACTGACCGACCATAAAAACCTCCAGTATCTTCGTGAAACTAAACGTCTAAATCTAAATCCCCGCCAAGCACAATGGGCATTATTCTTTACCAAGTTAAATTTTACCATTACTTATCGCCCTGGTCCCCGAAACGTCAATGTCGTGTCAACGTCATATGGAAGGCCCAGAAGAACCGGAAGGTATCATTCCACCTCAGATGATCGTCAGTCCCATTGAATGGAATTCCCCTTCAGTGGCCTCCAACACGGCTCCCAACAATCTGCCGGGCTGTCCTCCCGGATGCCAGTACGTACCATGGACACAGCGCACCCCACTGATTCACTCAGCTCACTCCTCCTGAGGCACTGGCCATCCAGGGGCCAACAACACCCTCTCGCTGCTACGAGATCGCTTCTGGTGGCCCAATATGGCAAGGGACGTGAGAAGGTTCGTGCAAGGATGTCCAGACTGTGCCATGTCTAAGAGCCCACGCCATTTATCATCTGGCAAACTCCTTCCTCTACCGGTGCCAAATCACCCCTGGTCACACCTAGGGGTAGACGTTGTCACTGATCTGCCCCCCTCTGAAGGTAACACATGCATCCTGGTTATAGTTGACCGGTTCTCAAAATCATGTCGCCTTCTGCCCCTCAGAGGTCTCCCCACGGCACTGGAAACAGCTGAGCTCCTCTTTAACCAGGTCTTCCGCTATTACGGAATTCCCGAAGAGCCACCAGGATTCCTGGAACCAGTTCCTGGGCTGGGCTGAGTATGCCCAGAATTCCCTACGACAGCCTTCTACTGGTCTCACTCCCTTCTAGTGCGTGCTCGGGTTCCAGCCTCCACTGTTCACCTGGTCCGGAGAGCCTTTTGATGTTCCGGCGGTGGATTACTGGTTCCGGGAAAGCGAGAGGGTTTGATTTAAACTAACCTGTTGCGTCAGACCTCTTCCGTTACAGTAATATTATGATTGTGAGAAAACATCCACAATATAAATAAATAGTAGCTATTAGACACAATTATTTGATATGGTAATACGGACATTTAAAAGTATATTTACACATGAATGCATGAGTTTAAAGCGGATCATTTATTTGATGTGCTTTGTAAACAATTTATTGCGCTTGAGCTGCATTTCTGAGATCATGTTTACATTAGGCAACACAACTATTAATTTATTGACTTTATTCAGTTGTTAAAGTTATTTGAAAAATTAATGTGTCTACCAGCTCATTATTTATTATTTGTTTTTGTTGTTCATTCATTCATGTATTTATTAGGCACCGATCAACAGCAGTTGACCATAGTGCTGCACAAATAAAATAAAAAACAGAAAAAAGAATAACATCAGTAAAATTTAACATACAAAGTTTAAAAAGCCAAGGTAAGAAAATGAGATTTGAATTTAGTTTTAAATATATATATTTTTAAGTCAGACAAATAGGATGGCACCAGATCATTTAAGGATTTAAAAACAAATACCAATATCTTAAAATCAATTTTATAACACACTGGTAACCAGTTTTATTCTTGTTCAAATTTAAAGATGCCTGTGTGTGCATGCAAAAAGATAAAGTGCAACAGAGAATTAAGCGTATAATAAGTTATCCTAAAAATATGCCAGTATCCAATGCTGAAGCAAACATCAATCATGTATTTTACAATAGATATTTCATGATGAATTTTGGTAAATGCACTTTAAAATTATGTTCATAATAATGAGATGTTTATTACTCTTTTATTGGTTAATTTTCATAAGGGGTGACCAGAATTTGTTTTTATTGATCAGTCTTTAAATACAATTTGTAACTAATTTCAATATGTATAACTACCTATAATGGTCGTGGGCATTTAATGCATACTCATCCAGGCCACCAAATCTACAGTAGAAACCACAAACCTATTTTTTAACCCTGTTATTAATTAATATATTATACTTTGTAACCATCACATAACATGCTGGTAATGTTTAATTAGAGTAAAATGCAACTTTAAAAGATGTGTGTGTTGTAATGGTGGGTCCTTAAAGGGTCATCGGATGCAAAATTCACTTTTACATGTTGTTTGAACATAAATGTGTTTTGGCAGTGTGTGTACACATGCACCTCCCGATCTGTACACATGCGCCTCCCGATCTGCCTAAATGCATCTATGTTCGCGCGAATCATTCGTGATCCAGCCTCACCTACAGAATAAGTGAGTATAAGGGTTTTTTATGAATCTTTGCTAATTGCCTTTCCTAATAATATGCTAGTTAGCAAGTTTTGTGGCTAAAGTAAACAGTATGGTTTCTCACGCACAGAAGAGAGGGGCGGGGTCAGCAGAGCTCATTAGCATTTAAAGGAACATGCAACAAAACAGGTTGCTCTGAAAAGAGCTGATTTCATCAAGGTAAAAATTATGTTTTTTACACTACCTTTGGGAAATTTTAACCAAAGCATTTTATAGACTTTTCATTAAGACCCTGAAGAATCATATCAACTTGTGGAAAATGGGCATCCGATGACCCCTTTAAAACCCCCAATTTGCTGCCAGCGATTTGTTAAATTACACCACACCTAGTCGTGAATGAAAGGTGAGAAGAGATCGACTCAAACACATCCTGAAACTGCCCCTTTTAATCCAATATACAAACATACTGTAGAATACAGTATATTTAAACATACAATTCATGTGTAAAAATCAGGTCGTTGAACTGGTTCAAGGAACAAAAACAGAAATGAATGATATTTTTACAGGAACATAACCAGAAATGGAAATGAAATCAAATGTAATTGTTCTGAACAGAACTTCAGAACTTGAAATTTTCGTTCAAAGGCAAGAGAAAACATAATATAAATATCCATAAACAAAAAGGAATAGGCAAAAAACAAACAAACAACAACAACAAAAACAAACAAAGAAAACATGCTAGGTTCAGTTCATTGTGGCACGCTCCAAAGATCTAGGAAAGGAAACCGAGACATTGAGATGGTTTTTGTTATTTCACAAATTCTGAATATCTTTTGTAAACATATGAATTATGTCTTGCTTTTATCTGTATGACCATAAATTAAGGAGTAGCATCGCCGCCTCACACCCACACACACAAAATATTCTTGAATTGCTAATTTGATATCGCAGCCTGTTCATTATTCAAATAAAATACAATAAACCAAACATATAAAACACTATACTGTTCAATTTGAATAGTCTGTAATATAATCTGTGCCATTCATTGCATGACCACTGCCTCACTGTGCTGTTATTATTAGGCTACAGCCTATATTATTACATATTTTTAACCATGCACAAACCATTTTAAAATATTAAATTAAAATATTTAAATTATTTAAACCGAGTTTTGTTCCCTTTCGTTTCATAAGGCCAACATTTGGACAAAATCTTGTTATAAAAGATGATTGTAGCATAATGGCTATGACTTGACGACGAGACTCTTTCAGTGGCGAGCGGTAACTTTTTTAACGGGGAATGCCGAGTGATAGGATTAAGGACCCCCCCCCCATCGGCTTTTAGGACACCCTCAAAGGGGAACATAGATTACAAATAAGAAACACTGTGGCAGGTGTCAATTTAAAAGTATGCACATTTCCTACCTTATCTGTAAATTAAATTCATCTCCAATCTTTCTTCTGTCATTTCAGGTTTATCCATTGTTAATGGATATAATTATCCATTGTTGAACCGACAGTAACACTGTTTTGTGTTCTTAGTAGTATTCACCAGACTAAAATTTCAATAATCCTAAACCTTAATAACACAACATAACCACTACAGTAATGTTTAAATGCTCGTGACAAGCATGTAAAAACCATGAATAACTGAATCATTAGTATTTTATTTCTATTTGAGCTGTACTTAAAAAACGTTACTTGACAGTCAAGGTCTCGTGTTGTTTCCACCAGCATGGCAAATCTTTTTCATCATCATAATTGATGGATGTCTAAAACAAAAACAAACAAAAATTGATGGAGAAGCTTAAGACAGGCCCAGAGCCCGGCCCGCGTCTCAGACCTATAAATAAGATGGGCCCTGCGGACTGAAATGCAGGGCTCTCCATACTATTTCTTACAGAATCTGTCGATATGTTTTACGTTAATGTCTTGTGATTAAGCTCTGTTTTTGCAACTGAAGATAAGGAAAAATGCGAATTATTCATTGGATCTTAACTAATCGTTAGGCTAAGGAAGAATGTCAAAATGTTTTAAGTTATTACTTATGTATATTTACAGAATGCAATGTTTAGGCTACAGCAGCTCTCAATAAGTTTTCTATACATCATTTCTTATGTATATTTTTTAACTTAAGATCCTGAGCAAGATGAAATGTTTGTTGTGAGTTTGATCAAATGTTTTAAGTAATAATTTGCTTATGGCAAGCTGAAACAAAATATTTATGTTGACATATGCATGTGAGTTTTCAGTGGCGCAATGGGTTTGGTTGGAGGGGGGTGCCGAGCACCCACCGGTGGAAAAAGAAATCGGCGCCTATGAATAAAACTGTTAGTAACCTCAATTTAAATCAGTTTCAAAATGACTAGACCTTGTGAGGAAGACTAATTTGACCCCTAATTGGATCTGGTTATTTCAATTAAATAGGTACATTTATTGAGGGGTTTGTAAAGGCTATTTATTTACATGCCTGGTCAGATGTACCTGCATATAACAGTTCTCTAGTTCTGGTTTGTTATCATATTGCTTGATCAGTTTCTTATGATCAAATGTGTTATGATAAATTTCTCATTTTCTTTAGTTTCAGGTTTTTCAGGACTATGGAGGAACGGCGTTTTATACGGCGCCCAAATTTTGCACTGAGGTACCAGAGGCATCATACATATCAGTGGTCCAGTCTACAGCTAAGACGTAAGCCCAGAGCCTCTCCTCCTTCCAGACAGCAGTTCCACAAAGGCCTGAACAAGAATAGCTCCACGGCACATATTGAACCCGGCAGAACAGGTTAGCTGCATTGTGCTATATCTGCATGTTAGCATTTATGTTGCAAATTTGGTTGAACTAAATTTTGCAGTGCACATATGGACTCTTAACTCTTAACACTAGGTGGTAGTGTCAGTTTACACATTAAAATTCTCAATGAGAGGTAGCATTCTGTGTTTTATTTACTGTTGCTTTACAGAATTTCACTTAAATTTTACTCAGTAATCATTGAATCAATTAATCTGATAATCTTAGAAATGCTTGAAGAAATAAAATAAAAATCACAAATTAAATTTGTCCTCAATCTCATCCAATATTAAATGCATTTTCTGCTCCACAATAAAACTATAACATATTTTATATATAGCATATTTAAGCATTATCAAATTATTGTACACTCTAAAAAAATGCTGGGTTATAATTTTTTTTTTTTTACCCAAATGCTAGGTTCAGCTTGTTGGATCAATTTATTGGGTTATTTTTAAATATTTTTACCCAGGGGCTGGGTGGTTTTTCTGTAACTAAGCAGCTGGGTCATTTTGAATGCTGGGTTATTTTTTCTACCCAACCACTGGGTTAAGCCTGTCTCCGTCGAAACAACCTAGCTGCTGATTTATAGTGAGATCACAGGGTTTTTGAGTCCTCTACAGGTTTGGTGCACTTCTTCAGCGAAATAAAGGTTTGTAGACATTTGATTTCATTTATAAAGTCTTTGCTGTGCTGTAAATTGTATTATTTTATGCAGCCCAGCATAAGGACACAATGTCAGTGAGCTGCGACAGTAGCGGTTGTTTCACATGATGGAAACACCTTTGCCTGGCATAACATTAGTTTTTATTCGTTATAATTTTATTCTGTTTTATTCATTATAATACTGAGTTGAATTTAATTTGATGTTAAAATATGTTCTCTAATCTCAGTACTGTTTGTTTATGGGCAGGTTATAGAGTCAGTCACGGCCAGTGGCGTAACTTAGTAATGACGGGCCCAAGTGCAGGTTATTACGAGGGCCCCCTGGGTGCACGGTTTTGAAGCACATACAAACACACAGCGCTCGTGAAGAGAACACATATAAGCGAATTTGTGCCTACCCAACTTAATTGAGACCAATTAAAATCAGTATCTTATCTGTTTCTTATATTAAATTGAACAGTTCTCTTTGTGTGCATCTCTCTCCACCACACACGCACACACGCAGGAATCACGGCAACCGCAGTCCTCTCCGAGAGGCAAGACGCAAGAGAGCACGACCCCACCACTTTTTGCAACATCTTGCTGTATGCACGGCTGTATCTAAAAGAAAGAAACATCTCCATTCGATTAGAAATTCATTGGTCTGTGTTAAATAACAGGCAAACTATTGCTGAAATGAGTTATTGAGAGTGTTCGTTGCTGCTGTTATCAGTTCTCTCTTGGTACTCGTGCACAATGCGCAGTCTTCACACAGACGACTGAGCGCTTCGTTCTATAGAATTATTATTATATATATATATATATATATATATATAATACATCATATACATCTGTTACAACAAATCTGAAAAAAAAACATATGTTACAAAAACATTTATGGTAACACTTTATTTTAAGGTCTCTTAACTAGTTGCTTATAAGCATGCATATTACTAGAATATTAGCCATTTTTAGTAGTAATTAAGCACATATTAATGCCTTATTCTACATAACCTTATTCTGCATCCCTAATCCTACCCAATACCTCAATTTAACAACTACTTTGCTAACTATTAATAAGCAGCAAATTAGGAATTTATTGAGGGAAAAGTCATAGTTAATAGTGAATAAGTGTTCCCTATTCTAAAGTCTTACCAAATGTATATATAGCATATAAATGTCTTTCAGTTTTGTTCTGCTGCATTAAAAGGTCAGATTTAAATTACAATTCCACAATTAAAATTCTGGAATTCTCATTTTAGTTCTGAATAATTCATGTGCATGCAGACGTGCATGTCTGTTTTTTTTTTAGTTGGCTAAAAATCAGATGTGGTATGTTGAAAAGATTTTCCTCCCCCTCCATCTCACGGTTATGTGCTTGGTGACTCACTGGTTGTGTACGTGTTGCTTAAAAGTGGGATATAATGAGAGAAAATGTGTGTGTCTATGTGTGTGAGTGTCAGAGAGCTGAAGGTGTTCTTGTATGTATGTGAGAGTAGAGAGAGAGAGAGAGAGAGATTGGTCACATTTGTATGGATTAAAGCATCCAGGCCCACCATCAGAAAGCAAAACAACCCAAGTTGTGAGGCAGATTTTCCAAATGACACTACACAGATTTTCTTACAGAAACCTCTCTCTCTCTCCCCCCCCCCCCCCCTTTTCCCTTTTCCCTTTTCACCTTGCCCTTACTTTTTTATAGACATTTCTCGGCCATCCTCTGGAAACAGACCATCACTGCCATCCACAGTAAGAGACCAGAAACTCCTTGCTTTGTATCATTATGATGATTCTCAAATGAATGTTTTTGGGTCAATACAAGTTTTACTCTGTATTAACAAAATATGTTATATATGTGTGTGTGTGTTGAATATGATTGACTGTGCAGAATGCCAAAAGTGCCGATGCTTAGTCTAATAGCTAGGAAATTGTTTTTATCACGCTGCTTCTCTGTGTTTGCATGTTCCACACTGTAACATAGAAGTAGCTTACGACTAGAGTGTGATACATTTGCAGTATTCAGTTTATTGGGTGAAAACAAAAACAGCATCATAATACAGGCAAAGATTGACAGTAGGAACACTGTAACGTATACAGGGACGAGACAGAGCAAGCACAGTTTAATTTGAAACACCAACACAGATAATGCAAACTCGAAACAACTGTGGACAAACCACAGACAGGAGCCAGGAGAGCAATCAGAAGACAAAACACATACAGAAAACAATAACTGACAAAACACAACTGAAACACAGGGGTATATATACACATAGGTTAACCAGGAATGATGAGGTGTAGGTGATAAGTTGGCATGGTAAATAATAAGGGTTGCTATAGTAGCAAACAAGGCAGCAAGGCAAACTGGGACAGGGACTGAACAAAGGAAGTGAAGAGGGAAACAATAGGAACATAAACACATTACATAACATGTCATAAAAAAAGAGGGACAAATACAAATATTCAAGCAATAATCAAAAATGTAAATCAATAAATAATTCACTCAACCCATTCATGATTCATGCTGGATTGGAAGACTACTACTGTGGGTTTGTCACGGTCATGGTGTGTGGAGGCAGGCAGGACGACGAGGACGACAAGGATTCCAACAATGACTTTTAATGTAGACACAACAAGGCAGATTCAGGAAGGAGAGACACACACTCGGGGTAGCATTCATAATAACCGACAAACTGGCAGGGACGCCAGAATTATGGCACCAAGACGCAGCGTCTTGTTCCCTCGAGGAACTGGGGTTACATACGTAACCCGAGACGTTCCTCTTCAGGAACTCGAGCTGCGTCGAAAACGCTAGGGAAACGCGAATGCCCACAAATGCTCGCACTGGACACATACAATTAAGCTTCTGCTGGTCTGGATCCCCTAAGGGATGAGGACTGAGGGCCTGGAGCACGACAGGCTGTGTTGTAGAGGAGGAGACCTTAGGAACATACCCCGCTCGAGGGCACAAAAACGCTTTGGCCAGACCGGGTGCAAAGTCAAGATAAGAAGGGGCCACTGAAAGGGCCTGCAGATCCCCACCTCTCTTGAGAGAAGATATCGCCAGAGGAAGCTAGTTTTGATAGTAAGGAGGCGATCAGATATCTCCTCAATAGGCTCGAAGGGAGGCCTACAGAGAGCCTCTAGCACCACAGCCAGGTCCCACGTGGGGACACGAGATCGTACCAGAGGCCTCACCGCACCGCGGAGGAAATGTGTAACTAGGGGGTGTCTGCCCACTGACTGGCCACCAAGAGGGGCGTGGTAGGCCGCCTGCAGGAACTCCAGCATTGTACCAATGTATCAACCAACTGGGTCGAGCTGGCGGTCTCCGCACCAAGAAGTGAAACGTTTCCACTTCAAGGCGTACAGTTTCCTCGTTTCCTCG